ATATCACTGTTGAGGGGGGAAACTGTCATCAGCTAGCATCGCCACTGCTTTGGCCGAGCTGGCTCTGTGACAATCAATTTGATAATTTTCTGACCAAAGCATATACGAAACAACATTTTACTTCTCCTCTATAAAAACTTCCAGGATGGAGGTTTGTCTGTGAGTTCAAGTTGAATTATGTCAGTCAGGCGGTTGCAAAAATGTGGAACTGAAAGAACTGACTGTTCATCAGGGAGCCTCCAATTTTAGGCTTTTCTGCGGTGTAGGGTTTGAGTAGCATCAGAAAAAAAAAAGTAGACGCGTTTCGTTCCAAATTATCTCTAAAAGCGTGGGCCATAATAAAGTTTTGTTGATACGACAAAGAGGGTTTGGCCTGGGGGTCTTGTCCCCCGACCAGGCCCTGCCGCGGCGGTGAAGAGGAGGCGCAGTTTACGCAGGCCAAAAGGACGAGTCGCAGCGCACAGCGGTAGCGGTTAAGCGTCAGGTTAAACAGCGTGCACCATTTCTTTGTCTCATATCGCACAGCACGCGCTGCGACTCGTCCTTTGCCGCGTCTGCGTCTCTTCCTTCGCCGCGGCGATGGCCCCTTGGGGGCACAAGTTAAACTGCCGGTCGCACTGCCAGATAACCTATAGTCCCTCAGATTTTATTTATTTATCATGCGTTAGTGAACGCGCTAGACCATGACATACTAATTAGGAGCAAGTATGGCCGAGTAAGATAATTTCAACAAATTGTAAAATAACAACAAAAACAAAAAAGGGCACGTGAAAAAAAAAGAGAACTAATAATGACTAAACGACGACCAGAAATGATAAGGTTTTGCGGAAGAGGAAGGATGAGATAGCGTGAAATGGAATGCCACTAAGAACGCAATTTGCCTGTCAAGTGGATTGGTGAATGCTTCTGAATGATGTAATGAGTAGAAGATGGGTGGGAAACTTTCGCTACTCTGTAGTCGAATGGCGGGGTACTTTCTGTTGAACTCGAGAGCACACGACGCGAGTCATGCCGCAATCGCCACGCACAAAAGGGCTCTATACCCAGAAGCTACCTATAGCACGAGCCTGCATCAGTCGGCAATGATGCCCGCTCGCCACATGCGGGGTCATAGGTACTTGCCGCAACTTCGAAACACGGGTATACCGACCACCCTCGTGGAAACGGCAAGCAAGGCAAGAGTACGGGTAAGCCACTAGTAGACGTGCGAAGGGATTGGCCGCATACTCAGTATCGAGTGCCAGTGACAGGCAGAACGCTAGAGCGAGTAATCAGCACGAGAAATATCCGGCAGTTCTGTGAAGCAAGGCGGCGCACCGCTTGACAGACAAACTGGGTCAGCAAGATGACAACAATACATCAAGACACATCCATAATTCCAAGCACTTCCACGGAGATTGATCTTTTCAATTTTAAAGCAACAGTCCAGGCAGGGTTTCAACTACTTGGTCATTAGGCGGTCAAAACATGCCCCAGCCCAACTAAAGTTTATAGGAAATGTCTTTAATTTCAAAACCTACCTCTAAAATGCGCTGGAAGGGGTCGAAGTCCTCTTGGAGGGGGCGGATCACATGCCAAAATAAATTATTGGGTGGGCAAGCTTGGAACGATCGTCCAACATAAAGCGCTGTGCAGAGTCCGCGCTTGACTAGCGATCGTTGCGGGACCGCCGCGCTGTATGAGGTCGATTCCATAAGAACGCAATTGAAGCGCTTCAATTTCGATTGCTGGCAAAGTAGTTATGTATTTGCAAGCATGCAGCTATTTGCCAGCAGTTGCAATTGGAGCGCATGTACTACGGGCAGGTTCGGACAACTCGTCCAACACACGTCTCCCTAAACGGCAGGGCATGTCCCTGTCTAAGCCCCAGTTGGGCGTTTTCTTCACTTTTTCTCTTTACGTTCGACCACTTTTCACCTACAACTTCCATATAGGTGCTTTTGGCCCGCAAATTCGTTCCTGGACTGTTGCTTTAAATAGCTTCCGAGTTGTTCAGGGCCAAGAAATGTGAGGGGGGAGAACTGCCAGCCATTAATGGTTGTTGCCCGAACAACGAAAGACAAATATCGCGGAAGCTCACGTTGCGATGCACTGTGCCCCCATCCTTATAATTGAATGCGCGCGAAGAGATCACTCAACGTCCATGCGTTGGCCGAAAGATCCAATATCGAGATGGCTTGACGCGTAGTTCACACTTGAGAATCTTAAAAGCCAAGATCAAGTCAGACTGGACGCGTCTATAAAACAAGCTTTTAGATTCAGCTTCTGGAGTCTAGATTGGTATGACGGCAGTGCTTGTGGATAGTTATTATTTGGGAAAGCTCTATAAAACAGAATTCTTGTGAAAACTTTCTGAACGTTCTCGATTTTCAGAATATCCTTGACCAAAGAGGGGCTCCACACCGAGCTGCAATACTCAACTACTGGGAGAACATAAGTTTATAGAGCTTTATCCACAAAGCAACGTCCGAGCTATGGATGTTTCGGAACAAAAGGTGCATTACCTTGAGAGCTTTAGCTGAGACAGCGTCTATATGGAGCGACCAACCATCTTCAGATCTCTAGAAAGATTAACACCTAAATCATTAACATTTGCATGTCGCTGAATAGGTGTGTTATCCGGGAAGTGAACCTCTACGGAAGAGGGTCCTATTGAAAATAAATGCGTCTTTGTGGGATTGATTTTCAAGCCCCAACGATTGCACCACTGAAGCATGTTGTTGACAGAACAGTTCAGAAGTCTTTGAGCGTCATCACGCTCACTATCTTCATATGCAATCGAGACTTTGATGTCATCAGCATATGCTGCAACATCAATTCTGGTGTCATGTTTTACGAATTTCAACAGATCACTTGTATAAATAAGGAACAAGAGAGGGGAGAGGGTTCCGCCTTGGGGGAGGGACTCCAGATGGGAATTCTCTCAAAGTAGAAATGTAATCAGAAAACGTAATAACTTCGTATAGCATACAGGACCAGGTTGCAGGTAGACGAGCTAAACCATTTCAAGGCATCCCCTCGAACGCCAACGCATTCAAGCTTCATCAAAAGGTTACTTCTGCACACAGTGTCGAAAGCTTTAGTCAGATCGAAATAGACGACATCAACTTTTTTACCGAGATTGAGGGCCTCTATCCACTTATGCGTGCAATCTATCAGCTGGGTGCATGTAGAGGTACCTGGAAGAAAACCAAACTGTTCGGGGGGAATGCAGTCCAATTTGATTACCCACTCCAGCAAGTCTCTGTTTACGATTTTTTCCATCACTTTGAGAGGGGTTGGGAGAATACTTATCGGTCGAAAACTTGGATATAGAATTTGAATCGCACTTCTTTGGAATTGGCGTTACCATTGCATGCTTCCAAATCGAAGGGACCTGGCCTAGAATCAGAGAAATATTGAATATGTGAGCAAGGGGGCTGGCCGGGGGGGGCCGAGCAAGTTCTTAAGCATTGTTTTACGGGAGAAGAATTGCGGTTCCCATCAGATGTTATTCGAGAAAGTTGAGTAGGGTTGAAGAGATAGACAGTGTCATAGAGGAACCATGTTCTGTAGTGGGTGATTCAGCAGGTCAATCGAGTATAAAACATTTGTCAGTTAATTGAAGATAGTACAGTCAACCTGTTTTCAAAATGCGGAGGCGCATAAAAATCTCTCGAAGTAGTCAGCCAAAGCTTCACCCTTCTCTTTATTTGTTGAGTATTTCTCTCCGCAAGCTCCTTCAAGAACATGCTTCACTGGTGCATGATTGAGGAATTTATTTATGTGAGCAGCAAGATGTTTCACATTACCCAAATCTGCCAACTTTTTTTCTCTGTATGCTAAGAATCGCTTTATCGCTTCAAATGATAATCCAATTTCATGCTGACTTCCTGATAGACAGTAGACTTAGTGGGATTATTTATTTGGAAAAATAACCTTTCACGTTGTTGAATCAAATTTACTATATGGATAGGGTACCTCGATGTGCGCCTTATATTTTCTTTCCATGGAACGAAGCGTTCAAAAAGAGAATAGATAATATTACAAAAACGTTCATAAATGTCGTCAATATTTATGTAATTGTCGAAGGTTATCATCCAATCTATGTGGGAGAGGCAATGAGCGATTGCTTTTTTGTCCGCATGCCGGAAATCCCTAAAGAGAGCTGGCGATTCCTCTCTAGTGATTTCGGGCATGGCAAAGCCAACTATGGTGTGATCCGAGGAGGAGAGGGGAGGCATGGCGTAAACACGGGAGAAATTGCCTTGTGCAGAAAGCACGACATCTAATATCTTGTTTTCGCGAGTAGGGAAATCGACGAATTGCCAGAGATATAAAGAATCAAAAATCGATAAGAATTTGGATGCCGATGGGGGTAACTCCTATCCGGTGGGACCAATCGATATGGAGATTCAAGTCCCCTAAGAGGGTTGTGGACACGGGTGCGGCTGAGGCCAGGTCAGAGATAATCGATAACAAAAGATCATCCTGGCTGCTAGTTGAGTTGGGAGGACGATATAACAAGTAGGAAACGATGCTTATTGCCAGACGGTAGAAAGATGTCAAAACAAATAATCACACAGACCTTATGTAAAAGGAGACTTTCTCCAAATACAAGTAAGTCCTGGTGAGTGAACACACCCTCCCCCCTCGTTCTCGACAGATCGAATCAAAATATACAATAGGACTACTGATAGGAAGCAGAAAATCACATGAACAACATCTCAGAAATCCGAAACATTAACAATTTAACCACGACATTCAGTAGAACCGAAACACAGATAAATGTTATATATCCTGAGAGTGTGGTTCAATAAATTAATCTTGCATACATGAGGGATTTTATTGGCGACGTCTTCATAGCGTTTTAGTAGTCGTAGCGCAGGATAGGGGACAACAGAGTTAGTTGACGGGGGGGTGGGTAGCATAGGAAAAAATCGCCGACTAGATGGAGTGGAATGCTTCTGATAGCATAGCTATAAAATCAGAAATATACTAATTTTAGTGAGCACACCTCTGTAAACGACGTAAATACGCTCACCATTGCATTCATTTTGATTCCTTTCCCGTGCCTGCTTGCGCAAATCAGTCTCTTTTTCGCGCTCTTCTCTAGTCATTGATTTTCTGATAAAGATAAAGAGACACCTTTGTATTGTGGAACCATACGCAGAGTCCTTGCTTTCGACAGAACATCGATGAAGGTTCGGCGGGATGAAAATAAACACTTCACAAGTCTAGGTTTCCCCTCGACTTTTTTCCCCATTCTGTGAATCTCAACAGGACGGGTTTCTACGTCAAGGGTGTCAAGTATACCACGAATATATGATTCTGTGTGCTCCTGACGCAGAGAAGCCGAAAGGCTTTCCTCTGGTTCAGGAACACCATAAAGAATCACTGATCGCTGACGTTTGTCAGCTTCGACGATTTCATTAGACAGAAGTGGTAGCTTACCTAAGAACTGCTCTAACAAAGGTATGGCTTCTGGCGCTTTTTCAGCGAGAATATCGTGAACCCTGTCGAGTAGCTGAATACAGTCGTCAGGAATAAGCGGCGAATTAGAGGCTTTATTGGCCAGGGGTGACGCGACTTTCCTCTTTTTTGGGAGATTTTGGGTCGTCGGGGAGAGCATCGATCAAAACCGACCGCACGCAACGGCCGCAGACGGTAGTGCTGATAGGAGTCCTTAGAAGACCTCTCTCGTATTCCGCCAAAATATTAGGAATACCTGATTAAGCTTCGATTGAACTTCGGCCTTCACAACTTCGAAATCGTTAAAGAAACTTGTGGATTGAAACACACTGTAGCTATTAGGCTGATCGTGAGTCATAAGTAATTGCCGATTTGACGAGATCTTTTCAAAAGTTCACAACTTTCTTTGAACCACCTTGGTTAAGTGCCCTATTTACCACAGCTGTCTACAAGTGTCCTCTATCTATCCGCAAGTGAATGGATACCTCTCTCACAAAACTACGCAACCTTCGACGTCAAGAATCAGTGGATCTGTTTTGAGGTGGTCGCCATCATCGTAGTTTTTCTCGTTGGGAAACGAGCAAGCAAGCAAGCGGAGCAACTGGTGCTTGGTTGCTATACCTCAGTGGATTAGAAAGAGAGGAGGGAAAATCATGAGGCCAAGTTTCTGTATAGTATTCTGGCATTCTCTCGATACATGTGGGTTGCGAGCTGCCGCGCAGTGGAACAATTTCATTTACTGAAAGCCTCAACTTTGCGATATCCAAAGCAATTCATCCAGCTGTAAGCAGTAGGTGTCTGCGCCGCAGTGGTGGTATTGTTTGAAGTCTGTGATGAAGCAATCCTACAATCGGAGAGCGGAACCTACTCCGGTGAAGTTCACCTATTGGGGCTCGTTGTTGCTGCTGAGCTGCACGTTCCCACTGATGCCTCCGTAGGTTGCTTGGCCTAGACTGCGCACTCCTCAATCCCCGTGACCCTTGTCGAGCCGATCGAAACAACGGCTCATCACCTGTATCACCTGTCGTCCCGTTGATCGTCGAATTTGCTCGAGCGGGCGCCAGCAACGTCTCCATTCGTCCCTGTCGCGTGCTAGAGTGGTCCAGTGGATCCTCCTCGCTCGAGGGACACGAAGCCTTCATTCCTTTCGTTCAGAGCTTTCGTGAAGAAGTCTGACCATCGGGCCGGCGGTCGTCCAGGTGTTCGTTTGACGTCCCGAGGGATCCAGTCGGTAACCGCATAACGGCTCAATATTTCTGCTATTTTATAATATCTACATCGCTTTTAAGTTTTGCACATAAGTGCATATAGAAGCGTTGGTCAGGAGCCGTTTCGTGAGGTGGCTCCTTCCCGCCCCTCTCCTGTGGGTCTCCAAGAATCTATAAAACAAGGTCCCTGGCCAAGATTCCCAGATGCAATAACGTACAACATATATGAATACCAGATTGGTCCCCCGTCAACCGCCGGGACGTTGCTTCTCTGCGTAAGCTTCACGTCTTCCGCTGTGGTCCTTCCACTTGTGTATAATAGAATGAGACTGAGTGTGCTCGATCGGTGTTTATATAGCCGTTGTGGGTGTTATCAGAATCACAACATCACGTTAGAGTAATATACGTCAACACGGATATAGCCCTTCCTCTTGAAAGCGGTTGTTCTCCTTCCCTGCATCATCTCCCAACCCACCTCTTCTACTCCCTCCACCGCTTGTCCCTCCGGCTGCCACGGCACAATGTCCTCCCTCCCTTCTTCCTCTCCCCCTCCTTCCCTCCCTCTCCCTCTCTCCCCTTCCCATTTCCTGCCCCCTCCCCTCTACAGCCCCCTCCAGCTGCCATCGCAGCACCATGTAAAGGCTGAGTGTGCTCGGTCGGTGTTTACAGGGTGGTCCAAAATTATGAGGACCAAGACATTGTGTCGTTAAAAACGCATAGTAGCTTGATGGAACAAACCAACTTCTGGGAAGTATTTGTAACTCTTACCTCAAAGTAATTCCAGAATAGAATTGAGATCTGCCACTTGCCCCGTTAACACGAGCCTTCGGATGAAGGGGGATGGCGCGTGCGGTGGCACGCAACTGAGGCGTGTCCAAATGTTTCCAGGCCTTCTGCTCTGCCTTCTTCAGGGAATCAAACTTTTGTGTTGCATTTATTTGCGCTTGCATCCAGGGTGTGAAATACAGAAATCTAGAGCTATTAGGTGGAGGTTCCATTGTAACAATTCTTCGAAAGCAACGAACTCGAAAAATCGCTTTTTAGAGAATTTTTGCTTTATTCTTGGGTGCTCGGTCCTGTAAAAGTCCCAAGTAGACTACTCGAGTGGCTTTCTATCCACTACAGATGTGGAGTCTTTAGAGTGTCTGGCTGGGTTTTCACATCAATTTTTTCATTTTGGGTGTACGAAAGTCGACAAGGGGAGACCTAGTTTCTGCATCTGATAATTATCCTGGTGGTAACTGTAACTTTCGAGTCCCCGAATTTTCCATCTGTGGTGGTTCCAAACTTATTGAAGAGTTGAACTGTTGCTCATAAGAGCTTCCCTGATAGGTTAGACTGCCGCTAGATGTAACGTGCCAGAGCCCCTAGTGAGTTCAATTTGAGGACTGACGTAAAGTGAAGTAGTTATTTCACTAGTTTTGAGAACTTCATGAAATTTGGTTTCATTAGGAAGAAGACATTGTACCCTTTCACATAGTGCACAGAAAAGGAGATGAAAATGGAGCGATACGGAAAAAAGTGGATATGACTGCGCGCGCACGCGGTCCTCATAATTTTGGACCACCCTGTATATAGCCGCTATAGGTGTTGTCATAATCGTGACATCAATATCACGATACCTTCAATACCTTCTACAAGGCTTTATGTGAAGACATCCGCCATCATCAATACCTTCTACAAGGCTTTATGTGAAGACATCCGCACATCGGAGTTTTTATTTGCACAGGAGCTGTGCGTCATTCCACTGCTTACTAAACGTAGTAGTGATCTCATGCAAAAATCCTATTTCTGCTTCTCTTCTTGATGAATGGGGAGAACACGGAGCCTTATCAGCCCGGCTGTGGGAAAGAATGGCTGCGTTTCTTCCTCCGTTCGCCGGTTCGATCTTTTGAGAACATCTCTATCGAAATGGAGCACACGGCTTTGCCTGCACACCCTAGACACAGGGGGCGAGACCATTTTCGAAAGCGAGACCGTACAAATCCAAAAAAACGAGGACTGCTTTTCAGACTTAGGTTGACGTTTTCTCTTCTCCACACCGTCCTAAGCGAAACCCACACATCTACCTATCTCTTCAGCCAATCTGATCATAATGGCATCGCCAAGGAATGGGTCCGGGAGCAGTTTACAGAATTCTGCTGCCACGATGCCAGTACTTTGGTGGACCTGAGACGTACAAGAAGTACGCCTATTATTAGGGTAAACGTGGTATGCTCCTTGATCGGGTAGCAGGCACATTTGATACTTGGTTGGACCCTCTCTATAATTTTTCCCTTGTGCCAAACTTTACTCCGCGATTTGTCCTGCGAATGCGAAAACCAGTTTCGGAACATGCGCATAAATTCAAACTTTTCTTGAGGCCTACTCAATTACTGGTGTCTTTACGGAGGAGTCCTCCACGGAAAGAACCCTTCCTTCCCATCTGCTGGACTGCATCTGCAACGGAGGGAAGGACCGGAAGTGCTTTTGTGACGAATACATGGCCGGTGCAGATTCAAGTGTAGGTTCATGGAAGGTCCAACACGAAACCTGTTCATGTTACGCTTGCCAACAGATATGACAGTTTCATGGCGGGAATTCAAATTCCTTATAGCCTTCATGATTGTTTCGATTAATGTCGAAACCAATGCTTAATTTTCGTCGTTTGTGCTATCCTCATGAAGCAAGGGACCAAGGTACCCATTTCTGATAAGGATAGCGGCAAGGTTCTACCGTGAAAGATTCCTTCGGTGGTTAGATAAAGAACGTGTAGTTTTCAATATAATAATCGAGTTCTTTTAAGAAAACCTGCAAACTCTTCCGAGCGGACGATGAGAAGTACACATTTTGGCTGAAAGAAAACAATATACTCGCTGCCAGCTTTTATGCGATTGATCGACAACCAATGAAACCCGAATGCCCGATCAAGAGGTTGACTCAAAACTAACCTTCAGATGTCATGAAGCCTTGGATCGATTATGACGAATTGATGAAAATAAAAACTCAGAACAAAGAAGACGACAACTATCTCTCGTGTGTTGTGCAATACATATATATGGATGAGCCAGTGCTCATAGAAATTCTTTACCAAGGGTGTCTACGTGAAATTTTTAGGGTTGTTGGAGGAGCAAGGGAGGATGGGAAAAAACTGGGAAAAAGCAAAAATCTGCCATTTTACCTGTTACCGAGCAGCACGCGGTACCCAGTATGGTGTAATATTTCGAGTTCCTGTAGACCTGTGTAAAGCCGACGTCATAGTTTGCGAATCGCTGGATCCGAGCGTTGCGCCAGCGAATCGAACGTTGCACCAGCGAATCGAACGTTGCACCAGCGAATCGAACGATGCACCAGCGAGTCGAACGATGTACCAGCGAGTCGAACTAGGTACCAGCGACTCAATAGTGGCGGGACCCAACGTTCAAAGGAAGCCCGCCACTTTCAAACAGTGTCCACTGTCACGTGACACTGTTTGAAAGTGGCGGGCTTCCTTTGAACGTTGGGTCCCGCCACTATTGAGTCGCTGGTACCTAGTTCGACTCGCTGGTACATAGTTCGACTCGCTGGTGCATCGTTCGATTCGCTGGTGCAAAGTTCGATTCGCTGGTGCAACGTTCGATTCGCTGGCGCAACGCTCGGATCCAGCGATTCGCTCGATTCGCAAACTATGACATCGGCCCAAATGTCCTGCATCACTGGCGGGACGGTTCACGATTGCAGTCGCGTGCTCAGTCGACCACGGCTAATTGTGCAGGCTGAACCTTCCCAGTGTAGAATGGCTAATCTCGGGTTTATTGGTTATAAGCGAATAGAAGTGCTAACTACATAGAGCATCTTGCTACCCAATGGTAGTATTTTGTAGTTACGC